TCACTTACATCTATCTTGTATGCATGCTCTATGTTTTCGTGATGAATTAGTCTCGCCCCCATTTCTATCTCTTCACTTTGATCTTCCTCAAATTCATCAGTTTGATTAATTTCTAACAATCTTCCATTCACCCCCCCCCCTCCGGGAATAAACCTGCACTTTTAATGTGTGATTTTAGTTTAACCACCTGGAGTTTTACCTATGTTGACCGCAGGTATGATCAAGGTATCCGATGTGTGCCCCATCTTCAATGGCACGAACTATCCCTACTAGAAGGTCATGATGCGAAAGCGTCTCTTGGTGATGAACAGTGAGTTGTGGACCGTCATTGAATTGGGATTGACTGAAATTTGCAAAATGGCGAGCGCTAAGTAATATTGGTTTCCTGATTGTAGCTCATGCCATGGCTAAGATCTCTACTCTCTGGAATTCCTTTGATCTGATTATGAGACAGTATAAATGGGAGTTCCTCTAATCTAGCAAGGACGTGGTTGTGATCATCGGTGAAACTGCTGGCATACCAAATTGCACGCTGTTTATCAAGCTTCACTGTTAAATGGGATTCACAGATGCATCGACTCTCTAGTCTAAGCCTACGGGTCCTATCTTCCATTGTATAAAACTGGGCCTGCCATTTGCCAGCCCTCGACAAGAGATACCTCCTCAAGCTGATACTTCCCTCGGGACCTTTCCCCCTTTTTAGCAAGTCCCTTCTAATGCTGCACCAACATTCCTTCGCGTACTGGTTGTAGAACACGTATGCATCCCCTTCTGACATGAACATCTTGGCCATCACGTGCCAATGCCTATCGAGTGAGTCTTGTTGATATTCATCATAGCCAATGTCAAATTCAAACGTATGATCATCGGCATGCTCATCGTTCCCGCTAGGACCACCAACACCACCTGCAAAATAAGACAGAGAACCATGTATATATGGCAGTCAGTTGTTATGTCGCTACTTTCATATATAATTTTAAAAACTTAATTTGCTCCCGCTCTCATCATACGATGCATCGGCGTCGCTCTGGTCACTGTCATCATCATAATATTCCGCTCATTGTCACCATCATCATCTATCTGTGCACATTTAAGATAAGACATGTAAGTGGTAATGCAGTTGTTATGTCATTCCTTGCGCTACATAACTTTAAGTGTACCTGGCTCGCACTTTCAGCATAACACTCATGTATATCGTACTCCTCATTGTCATCATCGACAAGTACCTGCATAAATTTTAGAAAATACATGTAATTGTCTATGAAGTTATTTGTGTTTCATGCTTTTGTAAATGTTCACAACACTTACATTACCACTATATGATTTATCTTGACTCATATAGTTCTCCTCGGCAGGCTGGTTCACCTTCAGTAACGTGCATCCATTCTCGCTACCGCAATCATTGTCGCATCACCGGTTTCTTGCTCCATCTATAAATGTTTAAATAAAGTCTCAGATCAATCCGAACACCGCACAACATCATCATGAATATAATTAGTTTATCAATTATGAGACGGCTAGTGTGAAACATAAATAAGGCGCGCGAAATCAAATTGCTTGATAGTACTTCGCACGAATTTATGCACGAAACTACTGTCTAATTATCCAGTTAAAGATTTTTTCTTCTCATTTCAATGAATAAAAAATTGTAAAGTCCAACAAACGCAACTGAAAAACCTTACTATGCGTCGAGGTCCTCGGCTGGGTTGACGCTGATGTGCTAGTGCCTAGCACATCGCGGATGGCATGTGGGAAACGAGAAGCGTCGACGCCAGAGCACTTCTACGTTCCACCAGGGGCCACGACGCATTTGCGTTGGCCCAACGAAGACGTGTTAGTGCCAGGGAAGGCAGCACCCAGGGCGTGAGGGCGGCGTCCAAAGCGTGAGGGCGGTGACTAGGGCATGGGGGTGGCGGCCACGTTGTGAGGGTGCCGTCCACGGAGTCACAACGACAACGGATCCTGGCTAGGAACAATGCGTTTAAAGCTTTATTAATGCCGCATCATAGATACATATGTGGAAGGACAGTGGATATGATTTATTTCACAATGGAAGGACTAGTCCCAAATCGTTGTGGGCACACGACCCGACACTTGGGGGCTACATTACTCAAATCAAGATCACATCAAATATGAAAGTCCCATGTCACCGCAAGCATGCACCACGGAAGTTGAGGGCTAATGCAAGTTGCTTTTAAATTCATTGTCAACAGACCCGGTTATCTCAGGGAGATGAGCCGGCCTTTCATCATTTTCCAAGTCCCGGTCCATCAGATACTGATGACCCGACCCTTGGGGGCTACACATTGCTCCTCAAGTCTATATAATCAGACCTACAAAAGTTCGTGCTCATTATTGCATAATGACCCGGCCTTTGGGGACTACACTGGCTGAAGTTTTATGAACATAAGACAATTACAAGTCCCAGGCTGCTGCAGGCAAGACGACCCGACACTTGGAGGCTACACATGTGAAAGAAAAAACATTCAACTTATGACTGGCGACTCAGATGAATAACCCGGATTTCTTCAAAGTTGCAGCATTTATACTGAAGCAAGTCTTAAGCTATCACTACGTTCCCCTCTTAAGACATGGGGGCTACAGGTAATATGGATATAAGGGATGCGCACCCTCAAGTTCTCAGTTTTGAGCAAACTTGGTATCATATTTTTAGTGGAGAAATTTGCAAAAGTTGATCTCCTACAAGCTATTCAAGGAAAGGCCCGGAGAGCTGATTCAGCGATTGAAAGCTATATTTATAAAAGCAAGCACCAAATCATCACAAGATATAAGGACTTGGCCTCAAGAACTCAGAAAGACCAATTATATGACCCGACATTTTTAACAGTCATGACCTGGTATTATCAATCTTCATAAATTTGGGCAATTGTAACTCGGCAAGCTATACATCCTCAAGCCGGCTGACCATCAGATGAATATCTCAAGACCAATACTTCTATCAATTCACAGCATTGGAGGCCGACTCAAATGGATTATTTTTCACAATATTTTTCCCGCAAGAAACCAATGTCAGCAAATTGATTTTGAAGCTGGCCTATTGACCCAAACTTTCCAGGAGGAGTTCCATTGAATAAAGCGCCTAGATTTTCGCATTGGCAAAGTTTAAACATATATGCTAAAAAAGATTTGCTATGAGATCATGGACACGTATCAAGGTGGCTGAGATCATGTCACGGCATGGAAGAAGCTTAAAAACTGCATGACCCGACAAAGATTGACTCGGTCGGGTGTTTTTTCACATAAGGAAATGACAAGGACTTAAGGATGATCAGGTGTTGGCTCAGAAGAATTCTTGACACGGAGCACAACCTGTCAAATTTTTTCCTGTTTTTGTTTTTCAGGATCAGTTTAATATGGATAAATCCAAACTAAACTGGGGGCTAATGTCGTGGATATACCCCGCGGTAAAATCCGGCCGGGATTTGGCACCTGATCAGTAACCCTCCCGGACTTGGCGGCTCGTGAGAAGGCCGGCTGAAGGAGAGGTCGGGACGGGCGGCTCATGGAGAAGGTCCAAGAAGAACAAGACCCGGCAAGGGAAGCAAGGCCTGGACTTGTATCCGGCTTGTAATAGAAAATAGAGTAGTCCTAATCCTACTAGGACTCTACATGTGAGCCGCGCCTTCAGCTTATATAAGGAGGGGCAGGGCACCCCAAGTGGGACAAGTTTTTAGACAGATAGACAAGTCTTAGATAAGATCAAAGTAGATGCTCTCGAGATAGAGGCAGCAAAACATCGCCCTTGTAACCGAGATCTTCATCATCATCATCATCATCATCATCATCATCATCATCATCAATAGCAATGAAGCAGGATGTTGACTTTTACCTCCACCACGAGGGGCCGAACCTAGGTAAAACTCGCGTCTCTCGAATCCGATCAACCCCGTTCAAGCTACTACCTAATTGCAATGGCCTCACGACTAAGTCCTCACACTAGAACATGTGTTGTGACAAAACCATGATAGCAAGTACCTGCATAAATTCAAAAAAAAATACATGTAAGTACCAATGATGTTGTTTTTGCTTCTTGTTTTTGTCAATGTTCACGACACTTACATTAGCACTGTACGATTCATCATGACTTATATAGTTCGCCTCAGCAGGTTGGTTCACATTCAGTGATGAGCATTCATTCTCTCTACGAATATAATCGGTTTCTTGCTCCCTCTATACACGTTAAAAAAAATAAGTATCACATCAATCCAAACACCGCACAACATCACCACAAATATAATCAGTTCATTAATTATGAGACTGCTATGTGTGATGCATAAATAAATCAGGCGCGAAATCCAATTGCTTGATAGTACTTGCCCCCGAATTTATGCATAAAACTACTATATACTTATTCATTTAAAGAGTTAAAGAAAATTCATCTCATTTCAATGATTAACTAAGTGGAATGTCAAAAAAATTGCAAACGGAAAACCTATTGGGTGTCGACAAGGTCCTCCGCTTGGTCGACGTTGATGTGCTGGTACCTTGCATGTCATCGATGGCGTGTGGGAGGGGAGAAGCATCGACGTCGGACCGCTTCTACGTTCCACCAGGGGTTACAATGCGTTTGTGTTGGCCCGACGACAGAGATCGGGTCTTGAGGGCGGCGACCATGGAGTCACAGCGGTGACGGATCCTGACTAGGGTTTCGGCTGTGAGGCGGAGGCAGGGGCGGGGCACGCTCAACGTTTTTTTTTCCGCAACAAACAAGCGCGACGTGCGGTGTACGTGCGCGTGGGCGGGGGGTTGGGCTTGGGATACACGGGGCTGCCGGGCGTACGGCGGGCGGGGAGTATGCTATGCGGGAATGGGTAAAGGCGATATATCCTTTATACGTTCAGAGCTTTATTAATGCCGCATCATAGATAGATATATGGAACATACACAACTACAACAGCGAAGGTAAAACACATCCATGAGAGCTTTGCAACAGTGCGTTCAAAGGTAGCATTTATTTAGTTGGTTGAATGTAACTCAAGTCACGCAAGATACTTGAGGACGCCTGGAAAGTGAACCCTGTAGAAATAGTCGTCCCAGTCGATTCTCCTGAGATCGAAATCAAAGCAGTATTCTCCTCCATCTCTATTACTCTCCATCGCTTTCCTCAGCTTCTCAAGGTTCATGTCATCAAAGCTTCACAACGTCGAGAAAATCGACTCAGAGAGAACGATATTTAGAAAGGCAAAATGTTTCGTCTCATTGTGGCCAATATGATGCTTACCGTCCTTTGAATAAGGTGTAAGGCGCATAGAGCTCAATCAGATGCATGGCCAATCTGTATTTTCCGTTGAGCTCATTGTAGCGCCGCGAGAAAAGGCCACAGAGCAGCACGTTCACCAGGTGGAGGACCTGCCCGAGTCCAGTTGTCCGCATCACACACAGACACACAAGTTACTCTATTGGCCATCTGCGAATTTAATGTTCCAATTTCTATTCTCCGCCGAGCAAACCTCAAGAGGGAACTTGTACTTGATGACGATGTACGCGCGGAGCCTGACGACCGTGCTGAAGAAGCGCATATTGTTCAGCCGGATGGGCTCGCCGTTCTCCCCTCGGGGCGGGTTGTCCTTGAAGTAGCGATGGCCTGACTCCTGGAGAGTGGTGTAAGACGTCGGGTTGCTCACAGATGACGTCAAGTGATAGACGGTCTGCACCTTTTCCTCTGTGTGCGCCGCCATGGCTACCATCATAGAGTTCACCACCATGTCCCCCGGAATCTGTCCAAACTCGAAATAATGGTATGACTTGTGAGTATGCAAACTCACCACGTCCATTATGTTGAAGTTTTGGATGTGAGGATGCAAACTCACCACGTCCATTATGGCATCGGGGTCTACTAGAAAGAATTTCAAGGCCTGCTTGGTGTAACCCAAGATAACAGAGTCAATTGTCCTAAACAAGAGAAAATGCAACTTAGTGTCGCCTGAACCTAAAGAAAAAGTCTAAAGAGATGGATATTTTTAATTAGATTTACCTAACTCCTTCTATCCATCCAGGCAATGGGTCCTTGAGGATGCTAGTTATGATGCTTGGCCTGACGATGACAACTGGAAGGTCACCTTCTAGGTGCCCCAGCAGCATCTCGCCCATTGCCTTGGTGAAAACGTAGGTATTTGGCCACCCGAAATGCCTTGCTCTTGAGGCCAATGTGTAAGTATAGAATGCGTGTTACTATTGTTACAGAAAGGTATACCAATGTACACTTATGTTTAGTTTCTAACCTCTTGAGGCCAAGTTCCTTCATGGTTTTCCTCTCAGCCCTTTCTGTAGCACAGTTAGCATTCAGTTCCATCTTGGTATGTTTGATCAGATTTAGCTCAGATTCGACATCTAAATGTGTGCCTGCCCGTAGCGTATCGCCCATTATGAATGGTTTCTCTAGTATTAATCCCTCTTGTTCACCGCTTACGTAAGCTGTTCAAGTCAGTTAATCACTTCTCCTGATTCAGAGTAAATAATTGAAAACAGAACATACTAATAGAATCCTGCGATTCGCACCTGTTGAAATGTGAAGCAGCATTTTTAGTTTGATGCACTTGTTCGCAAATGCATACATGTGCTTCGCTCCCAAGACGTTAGTGTCAAAAGCTACATCGTATCTGTAAACCCATAACGCTTTGATCAAATATCTAAAAAGCATGTTTTAATTTTTTCTTTTATTGGTAACAACATGCATGTATGCTTTTATTTTTTGCGAGATAACAACATGTATGATTTCACAGATTCGTGGTAATTAACCTTTCATAGAAATTCGTAGTTGCAGCACCATTCACGATGATGTCCATATTCTTGGACAGTTCTTTCAGCTTGGCAGTGTCTAGTCCAAAATCCTCACAGATAACGTCTCCTGCCAGAGGGCACACCTTTTCTTGGATGAAATCTCCGAATCCATTGCCATACTTTTCTCTGAGAACTTGGAAGATTTCCCTCCGTGTTACCTGCAGATAACGAATTGATGTTTGCAGTTTTTTCGTGTACTTCAATTTTCCCATGTTCGGTTTGCCTGTTGAACTGTTATCACTTTTACCACATGCATGTTGGACGTACTGTCATACTATGCATCTCTGAATTATTCTCTGAGGAGTACTTCTCAGAAATGGAAGTTTCTACTTGTTAGCCCATTACACTTTCAAGAAAGCAGCTCGTGTCGGCCATCCCCATCCCCGCCTCTCCACTCCACTGTGCACACCGTCCCGGGCCCTTTCCTCTACTCTCCTCGACCTCACGATGGGCAGGTCCGACGGCAGCGGCTGATTATCAGCGTTGGACGCTCGAGGGAGCTCTAGATCATGGTGCCGCTGCCCATGTTCTCCGAGGCCATCATCGTCCACCGTAGCGTCGGTGAAGGAGGAGACGAGGAGGTGGTGCTCTCCTCTAGTACGAATAGAAGCCGAAATGGCTAGAAATCTGTCAGCTGACTTTTTCATTTGTGGTCAGTCGATTTGTCAACCATTGGATGCGAAATCAAAGGCCCAGGATGCTTCTTCGACCTCCATCTGCCCTTGAGCCACCAACCACCACCGGCCGAACCGCTGGTCCCCACCGCTCGCGGCCGGCGGCGCTCCTGCGCCGCTTGTTGGCAACAATCTAGCCGGCAATTCGATTTGTCGTGGTGCGAGCGAATGAATCGACAAGGAGTGAATCATCAACAAGTCAAGACCGGAGAAGAACAGAAGACAAAGTGTCAAGATTAGGGAGAGATTGTTAGAGATAATCTTGTCTAGTTTTGCAAACTAATTAGTACCGTAGCAACGTATGTCCTGTTGTGCTGGGCGTCATGTACGTATGGTGCAGGTTGTAATCCAGTACGATTAGGTGTAGTCATTGTGGCTGAGTAGGATTAGTTGAGTACATGTCCTGTCCGAGTACTAGTATTGTCTAAGTCGGTTTAGGTTTCTCTGGCCAGGTGTGTATATATACGTGACAATAGCCACGAGATTTGTAACATCGCAGAGAAAAAAGGAGAAAAAGAAATAAAAAGAAAGAGAGGCACAACACATGCTTTTGGCAAAAGTTTTTGCGTCTGCGTGTTTATCGTGATTTGATGTGATTGATTCTGTGGGTAAAGTTTCAACAATTGGTATCTAGAATAAGGTCGATTTGAAGCCGCGCTTGCCAAGGGTGGCGACATACTAGCGCCTTGGGCGGGCCATGATGTTGCTGGGCGATGCAGCGAAGAGGAGGATCAGGCAATCGTCGTTCGGCGGAGCAACATGGAGGAAGGCGATAGGCTGTCGTCAACAAGGCGGCGGATGGAGATCGTTGACGGGAGCGATGGTGCTGTGGTGCGGTGCCGGAAGTTTGTCATGATCGTCGTCCATGGGAGTTCGATGAGTCAAGAGTCGTGCAGGATAGCACTGTCGTGTCAGTGAGTCATCGTCGTCATGTCCAAGTGCTTGTCTCTGTGAGAGGCGTTGAAGATGAAGCGCATCCAGGTCGTCTATGTGTCTCGACGAGAGGATCAAGTTCAAGTATGTGGGGACGGTAAACTAGTGAAGGCGAGTCTCTTCAATGAGGTCATGTCTCTACATGAGGCTGGAGTGCATGATGTAGTGCACGGGGGTGGTGTGATCCACAAGCAATCGGCATGTATCTCGCTAGGGTGGATGGTGTAGTTCATCGGGTGATGTATTCCACAGGTTACTAGTGAGGCTCGATAGTCCAAGGCATATTTGAGGTGGTCCGTAAATTCACCAAGTCAAAATTAGGAAGAGAATGTTGGCAACAATCTAGCCGGCAATTTGACTTATTATGGTGCGAGCCGATGAGTCAACAAGGAGTTAATCATCAAGAAGTCAAGACCGAAGAAACACAGAAGACAAAGTGTCAAGATTAGGGAGAATTGTTAGAGATAATGTTGTCTAGTTTTGCAAAGTAATTAGTACCGTAACAACGTATGTCCTGTTGTGCTGGGCGTCATGTACGTGTGGTGCAGGTTGTAATCCAGTACGATTAGGAGTAGTCATTGTGGCTGAGTTGGATTAGTTGAGTACGTGTCCTGTCCGAGTACTAGTATTGTCTAAGTTGGTTTAGGTTTCTCTGGCCAGGTGTGTACCAATCATGAGGGACTCTCGGTTGGAACTGTTGGTAATTTTCATATACCAATTATGCAATTCATACATTTTGGTTGGGAGGTTCTTGATCTCTTCGGGCTCGACTAAAGATTGGCCGCAGACATATTTTCGTTTTATTTCCTTCTCTCTAAGCAGAGACATGGGCTCGATCTCGAGGGGTTGTCCAATAGTGATACCGAGCATTTCAGCCTGCATTATATACTCCTCGATTATTACCAGATTGCCCAGCTGGGGAACGGTTTGCCCACATATATATAGGGCGGCGGTACTCTCGTGTGTTGTTGGCACAACAAGCAGGAGGATCGCCCGCGCCGCCTGTTCTCCCAGCTGGGGAATGGTTTTCCCGCATTTTTTGCCAGCTGGTTGGCTCGAGCTCGAGCTTGACTCCTTTTGTAGTCTTTCTCGATGTGCCTTCCTGATTTGGCGCTCATAGTCTAAGTCAACAGGATTGGGAGCTAGTGGTCTAGCCATACGAATGAAATGGTCAATCTTTTCCTTAGGCACTTTCTTACTTGGCGGCGGTGCCGGTTTCGGTCCAAAATGGGCGTCCATTTGGGCCTGCACTATGGCTGCGTTTTGCTCCTCGGTCATGTCGTAAGACCTCTGAGGAAGAGGAGCGAGGCTTGGACCATATTATATCGCTTGCCTCCGCCTGTACCTCCTGTACTACCTCGACTTGTAGCGCTACGCACCATATCTGCAGCGGCTCTCTTCTGCGATTGCTGAGGCGGCGGAAATGGCTGACGTGGCTGAGTTGAAGCAGGAGGAGTGGCCTGAAGCCGTGCCTGACTTGAAGGAGGAGGAGTGGCCTGTGAAGTGTACCTAAACTGAATAGAAGCAGTCCCCGCCCTTCCTCGTCGAGCCGGTGCCGACCGAAGAGGATTTCCATCGGATGATGTATCTCGTGATGATGTATCTCGAGCATGGCCCAGTACTATCCTCGCCTCCGTGAAATTGCGTGAACGTGGAGCCACCCTCGCCACCGTTTTTCTGCATCAAGGAGGAGCCGCCAACGTTCCCACACCATTGTGCCGCTGCGCAACCACAGCGTCCAAATCGGAGGCCTCTTGTGAAGGAGGAGGTAAATGAGGTATCGTCGTCTTCACCATGATGGCCCCGGTGATGGAGGAGGAGCCCGACAACGCCGCCAACAGCACACTCGACCACATCCTCCACCACCTCGGACGCGACGGCGGCTCATGATCCACACACATGGACACATGGGCAGTCCAAAGGGCGGCAGCACATCAATCGTGCTGGGATCTCCGAAACGTGGCTATACGCGGCATTTGCACATCGGACGCAGCCACATACTGAGTCCAAACCTGCCTGATCCTCGCGTTGGCATGTGCCGAGCACCGGTCCAGGACTACCATGGAAACGTCCACCCGCTGATGGTGCCGCCTCGGCGACCAACTCGTCAAAATCAGCAGGGCAATGGGACGGAGAGGACAACGGTGGAGGTGCCGCCGACCAGGGAGGCCATGCATATGAGGTCACCGTCCGACAGCTCATTTGAACTTATCCATATGTAATGTATTGAAGTTTCTTAAATTTCGTCCTGTTTATTCAATTCGCGTTTGAACTGCGTGACCGCTCCATTAACCCTGTCTGCAGACGTTTTGATGGAGGTGGAGGTGTCTTTTTTGATGGAGGACGTTGGAGGTGGCTAAGGTCACATGCATGATACAGAAATACTCCTATATTGGTAGAGGAAAGAAAGGTAAGAACCCAGTTTTTCACCTCGGTCTGGATTCGGTGTCTTGCGGATTCGTCATTGGTAGCTCGAACCAAGAGGAAGAGCTTTCTCACACCAGGCTGAACCCTCAGTATCTTCTCCACGAGCACTATTGAGATAGTATCACACACCATAAAGTGACACTGCATGCAGATGCTGAAACAGAAATGCGTTTGATCGAGGGTTACCTTTTCCAAGGAACCCAGTTGATCCGGTGATGAGGATATTCTTGCCCCCGAAGTATGATGCGACACAACCAACATTCATTCCGCCGATCACCATCGGGTCCGTCTGCCGCAAGAGTTTGCGAGATTTATGACTCGTAGTTTAAGCCCACTTGTCGTAGGCTGTAGGTAGGTAGTACGATAGAGGTTTCACTGTTTGATCTCTTCGACGACCTGGCCGCATACTTATAGGGCTCTAGAGGGCGGATGGAGCACGCTAGCATTGATGGATAATCCCAACGAAAAGAGAAGCAAAGTTCGGTCACCTAAATATACCGTTGCATTAATTTTATTTTTGCGGTAGAAAAACGTTGCTTTCACTTATTGGTGCTAATTTAATATTCCTATGACAAGAGGAATATATTCTTCAAATCTCTCGCAAGTTTAAAATTTAGAGGTGTCTTGATTTTGGAAAGAATTACGGTCCTTACAAGGTCACATATGAAAATCCGTGTCGAAGGAGTGACACCATGGCGGAGGCATGATCAAGTCAGGAGACACCCCCCCCCCCCACACACACACA